CAAAGGGAAGCAAACCGATAACAGACTTCAGAGCATTTCACCTCTGGATCAGGGTCAAGGGAGAGGGACCGGACCTTCCTTCTTGCTTCTCTCCTGTCTTCTTTCTGCCCCACAGAACTGATTCTGACATGCTCATTTTTCAGCATGCAGACTTCAAGAAGCTGCCTCCGAAGGCAGAAGAGGCTGAGAGCTCCAAAGCTGAAGCTTCTCTTGTGCTGAAGCAGCCCAAGAAGTCTAAGAAAAGGAAGTCAACTCAAGAGGTCCCCCCAGCCCCACCCACCACCCCAGGGAGTTCCCTGCCTCCAGAATCTGCAACGGCAGAGAGTGAGTGCACAGAAGAGCATTGGCGCATGGATTGGAGGGATTGGAAATGCTTGGGATAGTCCATATTTCGTTGTATTACTTTCTGATGCAAGTAACTGCAAAGGTCTGAAAATGAGGAGACAGCACTTTAGTTTATGGATGCACAATTCTTAATTGAGCCCTCTTAGCTGTTGACTTAATTGTTGCTCTTTCAGGAGTCCCAAAGTAGGAAGGCCAGGACAGGAAAAAAAAAACATAAATGAGATTAAATCAATATTAAATAACTACTGATTAAAATGTTATGAATGTGATTCCCTTCTCATTTGTAAATAAGGAACGCCTCCTACAAAATTAATCAATTCTGTATCATCTTTTTCTCTGTCTCTCTCAGTATAGAAACAGATAGACATAGATGATAGATAGATAGATAGATAGATAGATAGATAGATAGATAGATAGATAGATAGATAGATAGATAGATACGTGTTGTGACTCAGCAGATGCTTACTGTGAGTTGCGTCGGGATGCAGGAATAATGAGCAGCTGTTGCTCGTTAGGGTTGTCTTCTGCAGATAAAAGATGGATGGTGCCACGCCTTAGTTGCAGAAGTCAATGTTGTTCGTCGTCCGTGGTTCATCGTTTGTTTGTTCGTGAGTTCAGTTTCGTGATTCAAAGAGGCACTTGGATAAGTGATTTGCTTTCTGTAAACCTGATTCAAAGAGGCACTTGGATAAGTGATTTGC